TTTTTTTTTAATTTATTTTTTTTTTAGCTGAGCCATCCTGCCACCTGTTGGCAGCTCAGCAGCAGCTCAGCTCGGGCCAGGACTTGAACTGCTGTTGTTCAGAGCTCACACTCTTGAGCGAGCTCTTAACCAACTGAGCCACTCGGCCCAGCATTTGAGCCTTTAGTGTGTCATAATCTTTTTGCTGGTGGAGGGTAGCATCAAAGATCACTGATCACAGATCATCATAACAAATATAATAATGAAAAAGTTTGAAATATTGCAAAAATTACCAAAATCTGACACAGATACATGAAGTGAACAAATGCTGTTGGAAAGATGGCACTGAAAGACTTGCTGGATGTAGGGTTGCCACAAACCTTCAAGTTGTAAAAAACATAATATCTGCGAAGTGCCATGAAGTGACACACAATAAAAGGAGGTATGTCTGTACTTAATCACCAGTCTCACTTTCTTTTTTTTTTCTTCTTTTTTTTTTTAGCTGAGCCATCCTGCCATCTGTTGGCAGCTCAGCTTGGGCCTTGAATCGAACCGGTGACCTTGTTGCTCAGAGCTCACACTGTCGAGTGAGCTCTTAACCAACTGAGCCACTCGGCTGGCCCACCAGTCTCACTTTCTTACATCAACTCTCATTTTTCCTGGTGTTCTCTTATGCATTTTTTTCTCTCAAATTCTATAACTATTTTTAGAATTTCAAAGGAAATTACTTTGGTATCTTTTATTTTTACTGTTAGAAAAAGGGACTACATGTTTGCTTTCTTGTTGTCTTTCAGATTTGGAGACAAGATATGAGACCAGGAAATTATCTTCAGAAAATGACATTTATGAAATAAACTTATCCCAGTGGAAGATAATGGAAAGAATTAACAACCATGATCTTAAGGATCTCATTTTAAAAAACAATTGGGAGTCCAAAAGAAAATTTGAAGGACAAGAGGGATATTTTGGTCAAGTGAAAATTACATCTCAAAAAGTGTCCTCTTACCAGAAACGCACATCTCTTACTCCACATCAGAGAATTCATTTTGTTGAGAAACCCTATGAATGTAAGGAGTGTGGGAAGGCTTTTAGGGTACGCCAACAACTTACTTTTCATTACAGAATTCATACTGGTGAAAAACCCTATGAATGTAAGGAATGTGGGATGGCCTTTAGACAGACTGCCCACCTTACTCGACATCAGAGACTTCATTCCGTTGAAAAACTCTATGAATGTAAAGAATGTAGAGAATCTTTCATATGTGGCCCAGACCTTAGAGTACATCAGAAAATTCATACTGGTGAGAAGCCCTATGAATGTAAGGAATGTGGGAAGGCCTTCAGAGTGCGTGGACAGCTTACTCTCCATCAGAGGATTCATACTGGTGAGAAACCCTATGTATGCACAGAATGTGGAAAGGCCTTTAGACAATATGCACACCTTACTCGACATCAGAAGCTTAACAATGCTGACAAACTCTATGAATGTAAAGAATGTGGGAAGGCCTTTTTGTGTGGCTCTGGCCTTAGAGTACATCACAAACTTCATACTGGTGAGAAACCTTATGAATGTAAGGAATGTGGGAAGGCCTTTAGAGTGCGACAACAACTAACACTCCATCAGAGAATTCATACTGGTGAGAAACCCTATGAATGTAAGGAATGTGGAAAGACCTTTAGTCGTGGTTATCATCTTATTCTTCATCACAGAATTCATACTGGTGAGAAACCTTATGAATGTAAAGAATGTTGGAAGGCATTTAGTCGTTATTCACAACTTATTTCACATCAGAGCATTCATATTGGTGTTAAACCCTATGACTGTAAGGAATGTGGGAAGGCCTTTAGACTACTTTCACAACTTACACAACATCAGAGTATTCATATTGGTGAGAAACCCTATAAATGTAAGGAATGCGGGAAGGCCTTTAGATTGCGCCAAAAACTTACTCTACATCAGAGCATTCATACTGGTGAAAAACCCTTTGAATGTAAGGAATGTAGGAAGGCCTTTAGACTTAATTCATCCCTTATTCAACATCTGAGAATTCATTCTGGTGAGAAACCCTATGAATGCAAGGAATGTAAGAAGGCCTTTAGACAACATTCACACCTAACCCATCATCTGAAAATTCATAATGTAAAAATGTAAGAAAGCCTTCAGTCCCTTGTTATAGAACATGCTAGGAATGTAGGAATTAATCCCTTTTGCTTCATACATGCAGTAATTTAATATATTCTACCATTACTCAAACCTGATAAACTTCACATTCATTCTAAAAACTAATAACAAATGTGGGAAACACACTTATCTCTATCCCATTACTTTCCAACTTATGTTATATTGAACAAGATGCTTAACTGCTCTGTGCTGTAATTCATTCGTAAAATGATAATATGCTGTGACAGAGTAGAAATTATCACAAATTCACTGATACTTCTCCCATAAAGAGGTGGAATCCACATCCTTTCCCTTTGAATCTGGGCAGACTTTGACCAGTAGAATATAGTAGAAATACTGCTGTGCCAGTTTCTGGACCCAGGGTTTACTTGTAGATTTTACTTCATCTCTTGAGATACTCTCTCAAGTTCAGATCCTAAATTGTAATGTTAAGAAGTCTGTCTACACTATTGAAGGGACCACATGGAGAGGCCCAAAGACAACAGAGAGTGAGAGGTACTCTGCTTGGTCCAGCCTTACAGACATGTCCACCAAGACACCAGACATTTGAGTGAAATAGTTTTGGATCGGCCAGACTAGCCACCAGCAGAATGCCGCTGGGTGACTCAGTTGATGTTATACAGAACAGAATTGTCCAACTGAGCCCCTGCTCAAATTCCTGACCCACAAAATCATGAGATATAGTAAAATGGTTGTTTTAAGCCACTAAATATTGTTTTGTCATTATTAATATTACTCTTGAAAATTCATAAACATGGGCACAGTGAATATGGAAATGCCTTTCACCAACACTCATCCCTGTTGGACTTCAGATAACCTATTGTTAAAATAGTGAAAGTGAGAAATGCTTTTTCAATTCATTAAAAAGCAGATTTTCTGCAATATATATTCTGTGACCTCGGTCTAAATTTAATTTGAAATTAACAAAGGATTACATAAAAAGAAACTATTTAGAAATTTAAAATCACCTGTATTATAACTCCTACAATAATTTTTTTAAAATATTGCAGCCTTTTTTTTTAATGCTCAAATTGTCTTATCTTTGGCCAGATAGTCCCTCAAATGGGCTCCTGTGTCCTTTGGTCATGACCACTGTAGCCTTTGATAACTTCTTATTTTTCTAACCAAATGCATTGGTCAGCTGTGAAGCATATTAGGACATTTATTGGTAAATAAATGGGGGAAATGGAGCATTTATCTCATCTTCCTTTATGAACCATATTTTAAGACACCCAAAAGTTGGTGAAGGAAGTTCTGTATTATTAGAGAACTCCAGCAAATAAAAGTAAAAGGAATGATAGAATTTGAAATATCGCACTTTTTTTTTAAGCCATCCTGCTACCTGTTGGCAGCTCAGCGGCTGCTCAGCTCGGGCTGGACTCAAACCGCTGTTGCTCAGAGCTCAAACTCTTGAGCGAGCTCTTAACCAACTGAGCCACTCGGCCGGCCCACACTTTTTAATTTATGAAATAATGGACCNGGTGGAGATATTTTTCTATTGTTGGCTATTTTCTCAGTGAAATAGGAACGATGATGATGACTAGATTGTGAGGATTATTCATTGTGGACTTATTCAGGATGTAATTAAAATTGGTTCTCAGAAGTATAGTTCCTTGAATGTCAAGTTTTATTATTTTCAGATCTTTGTGCACTGTCCCCAGTGTTGAAATGCAAACAGGAGACGTTAGAACCAAATCATCTATATCCCAGACCTTCTTGTATCACCAAAGTGTTGATGTAAGAAACATCCAACCTGAAGAGAATCTTTATAAAAGCCAAAACTGACGATAATGCCAGGAAGCAAGATCTTAAATGTTCCAGAGAATGACAGTTTTGCAATTTCTTTTATATATTTAGAATTAAGGAGGAAACAGCAAGATTACAGGAAGGTGGGAGAAAGTAAGGTACAAGATAGTTAACCAGATTATGTGCTCCCTTGAGTGTGGTTGTACCTTGCTGGTCTGGAAAAGAGGATTACTTCTGGCATTTCAAGGTGTGTTAACCTAAATGCACAAGAACAATGGACAGGGCTGGCTTAAAATTTTTCACTAAAGAAGTTACATTTACAGGCCTGGGTGTGACTACCCACCACTGACCTGCCTGGTTAGGAATTTATGATCAGATCACCCTGGGAGGTTACTTTTGGTTAGATTTATTGTAGTGTCCACAAAAACAAGGTGGTTAAAAATAAAATGCTTGGACTATGTAATAAATCCAGGTGATTTATTATTTAAACCTTTTAAGTTTTCCAATTATGCATGTATATCATCTGCAAATAGTTTTACCTCCTTCTTTTAAATTCCTTTACGTCTGATTTTTTTCTGATATTACGTGTATTGACTAGTAATTTCAAAGCTGCCTTTTTGTTAAGACAATATGTATTTTGTTTTAGCAAAGTAATCATTCCTGTTTTATTGAGCTGTTTTTCAAAATCAGGAATAGCTTTTTTTTTAGTTGCCTTTTCAGCATTTTTGGAGTCGATCATGTGATTTCCCCCCCCCCTTATCAGTTCTATTAATATGTTGAATTATTTTAATAGATTTCCCCATATTGGATCACTTTAACATTCTTTAAATAAATGACACTGGGTCTTTCAGTGTGCTGTTTTATTAGATGTTTAGAATTTTTACATTTGTTTTCAGAAAATTGGTATGTAGTTTTCTTTTTATGAATGGTCTTTATTTGGTATGATACCTCATGAAAATAGCTTGGAAGTCCTTTTTTTCTTAGTTCTCAATCTAAATAGAATGTAAGGTTTATTTTTTTATTACCATTGGTTTTTTAAAAACAAAAATAGTATTTTAGATCTTATTTTCCTATTGAGCTAAGCATTATTTAACATAGAATTCTGAAATTTCAAGTGGATTTACTTTTTACAATTTTCTTATTTCTGGTTTTAGTAGAAAATGTCTACATGATTCCAATTTTTTTATACAGACCATATTATAATAATTGAAAATGTTATCCTTTTCTCTCTCATTACACAACTCCTTTAGAACTTAAATTTTCCTATGGCTTTTTCTCCTACTGGCTTAGCATCCTCTGGTCTATATCCAACATGACCTTTGTTAGCAAGTTCTCTAGACTTAAGTCACTACAAGACACTTTGTGCTATAAATGAGTTGCTTACATATCACATCCTTTTTTTGTCTTCTGCTAAGGATTTCATAAGAACTTCAATAAGTCTAAACATTTTTCTGTGTCTGAAAAATCATTGGTACACATTTCTAGGAATACAGGAGTGCCCTTGAAGAGGCTTAGGGGTAAGAAAACAAGCAGAATAACAATTGGAAAAATTAATAAATATATAATTTCAACATATATATATATATATATATATATATACACACACACACATATATAACAACAAATATATAATAACGACATAGATTTAGATACTGTCAGTAGAGTCAGCCTTAAAGGAAGTGACTTTAAGACCTCAGGATGAGAAAGAGACAGCCATGCAAAGAGCCCAGTCAGAAGATTTGTGGCAGATAAAGTAGACTGAAAAGTCCTAAGAAATGAAAGTAAGTTGGGACGTGTTCAAAGATCTGAAAGAAGGCCTCTCCAGGTAGCAGTAAAGAGGACAGTGTTGAGATGATGTGTTAGAAGCAGAGGCATTTTAACCACAGTGAGTTTGATTGTATTCGAAGAATAAAGAGAAATTGTTGAAAAAAGTTAAATATGAATTTTTAACCTTTCATCTCCATCAGAATCATGTGGAGAATATTAAATATAGGACTGCCCAGGACTGTAGAATCCTATCCAAGAGGTTTAGGTGGTGTCTACACATCAGTATTTCTAATAAGTTCCCTGGGGATTCTGACACACATCTCAATTTGAGAACCACTGACTTAAAATGTTTACAGACATACCTTGACGATACCGTAGGTTTGGTTTCAGACCACCGCAATAAAGCGATTATCTCAGCAAACAAAAGTCATGAATTTTTTTGGTTTTCCAGTGCATATAAAAGTTATGTGTTTACACTGTACTATAGTCTGTTAAGTGTGCAATAGCATTTTGTCTAAGACAGGGGTCGGCAAACTGCGGCTCGCGAGCCACATGCGGCTCTTTTGGTATGTACATGTGGCTCTGAAGTAAAATTGAAAATGAAATAAAACTATCATAGTTTCATTTATAAAACTTTTAA